TAAGTTTTTTCGATTAGGCTCCACCCACCTCGCCGCAACCTCCGCCCACAACGGGTGTGCCTCGCACATCTCAAGATGTGGTCACTTGGGGACCATAATCCACTCTTTTGCGCCGTCTGTAGTGCTCTAGGACCGAACTACGATTTTTTTCAACACTGGTACCTCTTGTTTAACCTTTGCCCATCGTGTGGCGGGCCTCAGCACGCCCAAACATGGTGGACTCTTGCCAGATGTTCATCTTCGTCATGGACTTTTCTGCGATCTTAAACTTTTTCGGGAACCGAGTTACCGACCTTTGTGGGAAGCACCGCCCATCTCAAGTACGCCCCGCCCATTTCGGGTGTGTCTCCTCCATTTGCTCTGCCAACCCAATGCTAACCTTATTCCACTTTTTCCCGTCTCCGAGCTGCTTTGTAGCCAAATTATGGCTTTTTCAGTGACACGGGAAGCGCCACCCATCTCAAGCTTGCCCGCTCATTTCGGATGTGTCCTCTGTTTGGTCTATCAGCCTTTGTTAACTTTACTGCACTGCTCCAACTCGGGTCTGCTCTATGACCGAGTTATGATTTTTTTTTCAGTGACACCGCTAATTTTCGTCGCATGCCCCGCCCACTGTGGGAGGCTTACCATGGGTCACGGGTGCTATTTACATATTGTCCCATGCCCTACCCATCCCCACCATGACCCGACCCCTCCAAGTTCTTCTTTAGGTGCTATGAATTTCGTGAAAAACAGACAGACAGACAGACAAAAGGCGTGTCAAACTGTCAAAAGGCGTGGAAGTGAGCCCGTTTCCGCTGTGCTTTCTACCACTATGCTCTGATCGGTTGGCGTTCGATTCCGGAAGAAAACCAAGTTGTGGAAAACGGCCGCGGGCGAGCTCCTTCCATGCCGTCCAACATCGCACCGACTAGTTGCGGCGACATCAACTGTATTTACAGTATAAGCAAATGTATCAAAGGCCTATACATTGCCTCTACGGGATGATGTCGAAGGACTATTGGCCTCTCTCCACAGTGACTTGTGGGGGCTCTCACACAACTATCACAGGAATGCTGAATTGTGTCCAAAATGCTCTGCTTGAATTAGGACTCGAGGACGTGGTCTAATAGTGGCTTCGGTTTTGTAAAAGCAGAAATCTCGCCTGGAAACCGTGAATCCGGGTTTGAGACTCGGCTAAGGCAGGGCCTTTTGTTTCTCGGTAACTTAAGGTTCTTGTGATAAGCTAGCTTCGCTATTGTGCGGTGAAAAACAGTTGTTATGAGGGAAAAAGCTCAACTCACTACTCTTATTGCCCAGACAAGACTGGCACTAATCGCACAACCGTGACAGGAGAGTGACTGGAAGGAGGAGACTAAAAAGAGCGTTACTGTTCAGTCTTCGCGTTTTCGTCCACAAATCATGCGTGAAATACAGTCGCGACTTGCCATTTCCGTTGTCCACCACAATTTCGTCAGCTACACTTCGCCAATAAATAGGGTTGATACCCTAATTCTACAGGATGCTTCGACTGTATGGAAGACTTTCTTTGCTGTCCCACATTAATTGTCCACATCAACCATATTCAGCATTCCGCTGCTCCAGTGAGTCAAGTCGACAAGACTAATACCTACCACGACACTTACATCCCAATCAGCTCAGTCGGATCAGCCAGCTTCACTGACCGATCCTCTTTCATCGTGAAAAGAGTGTTCACAGAGACGGTCTCACCTAAAAATGCTTTTTTTCGAAAGTTCCCAAACTTCACCGTTTCGTTTCACATATTTCGTTTCACATATTTGTAATATACACTCCCACCGAAGGTGTGTCCCCGCCTTTCATGTGCCTACCTATATCCTACCGTTTCCCGCATGTCTCACTTTAATGGCTTCCGGCTAAAGGCAAGTCATGCCCAGAGATCACTTTTCATGGACTGACGTGCAGGATGGATGTATTAGGGCTGGTCAACCGTGCTGTCAACAGTGTACGCAGACCAGTATACCAGTGGCGAGCGGGGTTTAATTGAAGTTTGAGAACCAAGACGACCCACTATTCCTCTAGGTTACACCTCAGGAGCAGATGAAAAGGTTACAAGAGTCCCACAAATGTTACCACGTCCCCTTATGAGCTATTGCTTTGCTGAATGGCCGAATGGAGTTGAGCAGGAAGTAAATAAGCCTTTTCAGCGAAGGTCGCTTCCTGTTTTCGAGAAAGAGTTGATTGCACCTCGTTGCTACGAAGGACAACAGGGGTCATCAATCAAGCCCTCAGAGGACAATATAGATCGCAGTCCCTGAAGCACTTCCTCTTGTGGTCAAAAGAACGAACACGAGGCTCGGTGGGCCATCAAATGATACTCAACGAAGTATGTACAGGTCAATTTTTGAAGACCTGTACTCACTTGCTGCTTGCCCAGTGACTCACTTGTACCACTTTGCAGCTTTATAATAGTTTATGGGTCTTTCCAAAATGAGATCTTAGTTAATACTAACATCAGTTAGCAAAAGGAACTATGAACCTTCACAATGTCCCTCCCGTGCCGAATGACGCCGAAAATCAATTGTGAAAACACGTTATAATCAAAGCGTCCCATCCGAAGCACTGAACCTCCTGTCCAGGTGAGCAGATCATCTCTCCAATGACGACCTTCGTATTACGTGACAGTGAAGCTTCTTAGGGTCGAACAGTTCTCGAGGAAGAGCAAAACACTCGTTAGCTAGCCCCCTCTCCTTTGGCACGAGTAAAGAATGCCACTAAAGAATGCCTCCCACAAAATCCACACACTACATTCTCTCCTCCCAATAAAAATATCCATTGAATCATCATTCCCTTGATGCACTGAGAGGGTAGTGCTCAACTCTTCATCACCCATCCTGCTCAGAACATTTTCTAAATATACTTGTACCAGTCCTGTTCGTACATAGCACTCACTGTCTACTTATCATCACTGTGCTGAGGGTCAAGCGTCCGTTGAACGGTCCTCGATGGAGGAATCGTATTTGGCTTCTAGAAGTCGGGAGTCGTATTCTAAGAGGTCAGTAGTCAAAGTTGTGACAACGTGAGTGCTGTATGAGAGCTGAAAGCAGAGCTGATGAACTGGTACTGTGGATGACCAGATCGTGAGACTTGTTACACTACATGATGTTGAACTATAACAGGAGTTTACTAAAATTGTAAATGCGCTTCCCAGTAGTTGGTAGTTTTTCCGGAAAAGTTGAGAACCGAACCGCTGTGAACGAAATTACCTTACCTTGTTTCATTCGCTAAATTTGTCTGTTAGTGTGCATGCGTGCGTCCGTGTGTGTGTTTGACCAAAATTCGTCACTTCCCTTTTCCTTCAAATCAGCCATAGAGAGTTCAAATTGATAGGTGATGTAGGTCAGGCAGGAACACTATTGGTAGGTGGCAAGAGGTGATAATAGCTGACAAGGGTTTACAAGGGGCCTCAAAGGAGAGGGCTACCAAATTCATAACTCGCACCGCAGCAGCAATGGAACGTTGGTTCCAGGAAGTGATATACCGACGGCCCGACGCAAACACTTTGATGGGTGGCACGGAGTGATAGCAGCTGACAAGGGCTTACAATGGCCTCAAAGAGGGAGCGTCATCAAATTCATAACTCGCGTCACAGCCCTGGACTGAACCATGCGTGCAGAAGTGCACGCAGTCGAACTGGTTTCTCTATAAAGGGCGACACGCATGCAGAAGTTTCCTCATTGCCGGGAGGAAGTCTCGAGGGCGGTCTCATGAAAACTTTTGTGATATCGCATATCATCTAGTCAACTTATCGTGCCGCTGCAGTGCAGCATGTAAAATTGATAGAAACTATAATTACAATGCACTATGGTAACCGTATAGCCAAAACGCATGCTATTTTTCCAAAAATTGCAGTAGCATAGAATTTTTATACACCAAATATGAAACAATAAGCATTGAAGATTCATGTTTTCTATCGGTAATTTTTAACGAAATCCACGTAAAGTTATTCAAATCTAGGCATATAGTCCATTTTTATCACAATGAAAGTGGTGCAAATAGTGATGCGAGATATTCACATAAGTATAGGAAAGAAACTATAGAAGTGAAGGCAAGGACCGATTTCGACCACGAATCAACAAAGCAACCACAACTATGGTAGACCAGAACTCTATCATCACAACGGATACGGGGATGGAGGGGCAATTCGATAAAGCAAAGCTATAGTTTGTTTCAAGCGAAAAGACACGCATGATTGTGAGGTTGCGTTCATACATTGCGTCAGCGTCCACTAGCGACCACCAGCGTCCACCAGCGCCCGCCAGCGTCTCGAGGGACCAAGAAGTGTAGATGTCGATCTAGAGAACGCCAGCGTAAACCAGCGTCTCTTGAGACTAGGCCAGTAGACGCTAGACGCTGGTAGCTGAGGCCTTACCTAGATCCATATCTATACTTTCATAGTAGCTGGCGCTGGCGCTGGCGCTGAAACGCTAGTGGACACAGGGTGCTGACATAAAGTATGAACGCAGCCCGAATAGACTAGTTGATTGCTAATTCAGGGCTATTCACCACTCGATTGTGCATTAAATGCGACAAAAAAATTAGAAACATTTGTTTCACCGAAATTTCACGCATAACGAACACCTACTTATGCACAACACATGGGAAATATTAGCATCTTGCAAAATGTTGCTTTATTACAAAATTGTACTAATCGCGAAAAAGACTATTTCAGAAACCTGACATGACCCTAGACACTAATCGAAAACTGGCAATATCAAGAACCAGTCGAAATGGCTCTTCTCTGATGGAGCATGATCTAACAAATCAAAAAGCAAATTTTTGAGATTCACAAAAATGTGAACTAACAAAAAATAAAAGGAGAAATATAGCACCGTTACCAGCTTCATCGTCACACACTACACCGAGATCGTTTCATTACCACATCAAAGGACCGTCAACGAATAAATGAATAAGAACTCAGGCTTCAGTACACTACGTAAAACTGATCACATTAGCAAGCTACTATATAGGACCCGTAAGGATCAGAATAGATCCAATGGAAGGAAAACTTTGCGACAGGCACGCTGCACGGGGCTTTGAGGTTTGTCTTGCTGCGGCATGATACACATAATGCGAGGTGGAAGTTTGTGGTACTCTTCAACGTATTGCTTATCGAGACTGTCCCTCAAAAGAGCACGACCAAACACATCCAAACTCGCGAATTGTATATCCCTAAAATTTTAAGAAATAAAACGAAGCAAAAACTCCGTTGGTAAGGCTGGCAACCGTGTGGTGGAAAACGATTACCTGAACACCGGGAAATGCGGACCCAGAGCGATCTGGCCGTTTTCAGTCACTCTTCGGCTATCATTGATGAGGGTTTGTATCGCAGTGAATAGCCTGTTGTCTTGCACCGATTGGGTTACATTCTTCCAAACTGGTAGAGAACGACTTATCTCTAGTGACGTGAACTAAACAGCAGCTCAAAAGTTAAATCTTGAAGCCGACATATGGAGGAAGAACGAAGAAATTACAACAGTTACCTTATGGTTTGGATTTACCAAGTAGAGAGGTGTGGGACCAACATGGTCTAGAGGGCGATCATATACACATCTAACATGAGCCCGTTGTGATATCCACCTAAACACAAAATTTTCATTGTTTTAGTATGCTGTTAGCTGCTGTTTAACCCTACGCGCTTCGAAAGCTAACACAGGAATTTGTGTTACGGTCAATAGTCAAACAGACGATCCAGACGGAACTCGAACCTGTATCTCCCGCTTGACGGGCGTGTGCGCTAACCATTACGCCACCGGTGCCGCTCTTCCTCTTGATGCAAAAAGACCAGAGGCAATAGCGAAAACTGAGCGGCCCGGTGGCGTAATGATCAGCGCACCCGACCAGTAAGTGGAAGATGCGGGTTTGATTGCCGTCTGGAGTCAGATTTTCTCCCATATCGCTTGTGTTAACGAAATTTTAATTCAAGCGCAGATTAAGGTATGCGTGTATGACGACTAACACTTACATGTAGAGATGGGAAGGTAACGAAAGTCGTCGAAGGTAAAATACCAAATTCCAGAAAACAACAGGATGACTTGTCATAATCTGTGGATCCTGAGCACATTCATCATGCAATTCCTGTATTCGTAGAATTCATACATGAATGGGATACCTTCAGAGCGTAAAGGTCCGCAGCCAGAAGTGTCTCCACCTCACGACGCAGTACCAAGGGGCTTACATACGACACGCAGATATCTTGCGGCGAATCTTCTGTCACGGCAGGTGAACCCTGCTGGAAAAAGATAGCTAGAAGAGATTCATGGAATAGATTCACAAGAAAAATTTGATGCAAAACCTGCAAATCAGCATCAAATGTATTCAGTCGATACCAGCTTGTTGTTGGTTTGTCTCGCTTTTCAAGACGCACAGTGAGCCTTGGGGCAAAGATCTGAGAAAAGAAACTCGTATTAATCTATTCGGTATTTCTTCCTACAATCAGTGAAAAATGGGGTGGAGGCAGTGCACTGGCAAGGTACGCTTATTCGATCATGGTCTGGGATGAAATCTCAGATGGGCTCAGGTCCAAGCCAGCCAAGACTTCTAGACTTCTGGAACGGCCATTCGGTACCAGCTTTGTTTAGAATTATCAAAACACTGACTTGTTCATCGGCTGACCTCACACGCCATTGTGCAGGCCATATCCCATTCAGAATGCCACTATTGGAATGGGAGTAGAATCCGTGCCACTCCCAGGATGGGTTCACTAATGACGGAAGTTCTATCTTTCACATCAGTGGAGGACATCAGTCAGAGAGAAGCGACTTCTGATTGAATATTCGGCTTTTACGCGTCCTTTTACGTAATACCATTAAATGCTTGTAATTATCCGTCCTAGAGGAATATCAGGCTTGACTGGTCCTGGTTATATCAGACTAAGTAAATGACTGTCCGAGCAGATGCAGCATCAACCCCAGCCCCTCCACATTTTGGTTATTCTCCACTTGGACTGGTACTTTTGATTTCGCAGTCCAGACGTATATTAAGGTGAATTTAAAGAGCTATTTGGGCCAAACCAGAGTCACCCGCTGGAAATGATGAATTTCGCCTAAGCCGAAAAGGTGGAAGGAGCTTAAGAGTGCGCGAACCAGTTTCATGTACGGTAAGCCATTCTATCCAGATGACGTTAACCCTAGTTTTGCGTATGGAGCCTGTCGGGTGCTGTCCCGAAGTTTCTATTGTCTCCTTCATCTGTCAGCCATAGAAGGAAATTTTATATCCATTTAAGGAATAAAACATTACCCCACTACGCTCCGCTTCTGATTTCACCTCCTCTGGTGGAACACAATATGGACAAATGGTGTTGAGATTCTGGTCATCCACCTAAAATCGTCGATCATGCGGTTAATTAGAAAATCAAACAGATCTTGAATGGATTTCATTTCCACTAACTTTCCATCCTGACATAATCT